ATCGGTGGGAGTATGCATCGGCTTCTGTTTGTATGCATGTCCAGGATTTTGTGACACGTAATATACCATTTCAATTCGGTAAGCGTTGGAGGAACAATTATGCAGGCCCCAAGCCAAGCTATATTCATGTCGATCTGATTGCTTATCAGTTCAAACGTGCATGTCATGTAGTGCCTGTGTGATTTTTTTTGGGTAAGCGTAGCTGTGGATGTTTACGACAGCCATCCCACAGAAAGTTTACAACAGCCAACGCCAGTTAGTCTAAGTCTGTGGAATGAATGCGCCAACTCTAGAGCGCTATTGCTTTACGAAACATGACGGGCACTACGTGCTGATTGATAGTTGATGAACATCGCCAGTTCGCCAGGGGGTTGACATTTGGTGACATGGCACGACGAAAACAATGGACAACAATGCACCCACATAAAAAGCAATGCAACCACCGAGCTCCTACAATGAGCACAACTGACTTGTCATTTTGTTGTCAAATACAGGAGTAATTTTAGTTTGACTTTTGCATGGAGTAGCGTCGTTAACTGGAAATATAACTATTGCTTATATCATTTTCGTATTTGGCGGGCCCCCGCAGGGGCAACCGGCTTCGGTCGGTGTAAGGGACTAGCGCCCCCTCGGGGTCCCAGCTCCGGTAAACGGGTGGACAGCGCAAGCTGTTCCTCTCAGGGCGTAGCGACCCTGCCGATACGTAAGCTCCTGCTCCTTGTCCCGCCCGCTCCTTTCCCCATACCCCGCTTTCCCCGCAGCCGGGCTTATCACCACTCCTCATCCCTCGTTCTATCGGGGTCGCTGTGCCCCCTCGTCCGCGTCCCCGGGTTGATCGGATCCTGGTGGCCGAGGGGCGGCGTCGTGCTGGGTTAGTCACGGCCCGTCCCAACACTCCACTTTGGCCAGGATATCCGAGGGCGCGGGGGCCCGTGGGGCCCTCACGGGTTTAGCAGCTTGCCGCCCGCGTTGCGGTTGGGTGCTCCTTGCGGGTCTCCGTTTGGGGCGCCCGGCCGCGCACAGCGGCTTAAGGGGTCAAGGGACGGCGGTGCAGAACCACGGTCAGGACGGGGAGGGGTCCCCCGGCTACACCTGGCCGTGTGGGAGGCATCGTTCGCCCCATATAGCACCGGGGTAGCCCCGGCGGTGACCACCCTCCCGAGGCAGTGTTGGGCCGTCGCCCAGTTGGGCTGCGAGGTGGGTGAGGAGCCCGGTGTCGAAATGAAAACCACCTTTTATGGCTTCTTCTCACCTTAAAAGCACCCGCCCTCCGAAAGAGGGATGGACCTCGATAACCCCAGGGCGCAGAGAAGAATCTGCGCCCCCCGGTTCACGGATCCTGATCTTCGGTAGTGAAGAGATTAAGCTGGCTTCCCTTTCAAACCGTTTCAGAGACGGAACGGCTGCGACAGGTTTGGGAAAATCATCAGGTGCGACAAGCTCAGGGATGGAAAAATAGAAGTAGAGTTCGCTAGTGGTCTGGAGGCGAGTAGGGGCCAATGGTTGCTAAGGAATTTACGTATAGTGTTCGGGATGAGACTGGTAAGCATGAAAAGGCCGTGTCAATATCAGCAATACCACATAAGACCAAAAATTCATCCAGGGGCGTAGTCAATTATTTGATTCTCGGGACGTCGCCGAGGATGAGATAGTCTAAGAACTCTCAGAGTTTGGCGTGACGAGCGCTCGCAGGATTCTCGTCAGACGGGGAGGAGAGGTTGTGGCCCACCAACAACCATCATTCTGACGTTTAGTTCCACTGATTTGCCGTCCGCGATACGTGTGGGCTACGCTCGGGTGAAGGTTCGCCCTTATATGCCTAACCCCATGCGGTGTTACCAATGCCAGCGATTTGGCCACACCAAGCTCCACTGTTGTAACCGCCCAGCATGTGGTGAATGTGCGTCATTCGAGCACACAAGTGAAGTTTGCACCTCTGCTCAACCCCACTGCATCAACTGCGGTAAGGACAAGTCCCACGCACGACGTAGGGCTGTACGTGCCCGGCCTGTGCAATAGAAGAGGAGGTTATATCGATTAAACCTCTAAAAATGTCTCTTCCCGTGAAGCTCGTGAACTTTACGACAGCCACTCGAAAATATGGTATGCGTCCAAAGTGAAAACTTCGTTGCCACAAAGTAATGCCATCGGGCACATGACGGCAGTTCAGTTCGTAGGACTTCTGAGGTCGTTTGGCCTGTCGGTTGTTCCCTCGGTCCGAACGCCCGACTCCCAGTCGGCACTCCAAGCTCCCTCCCCGCCGATCGAGCAGTCGGCAGACGCCGGTCTGCTGGCCTCCTCGGTGCGCGCTGGATCACCGACGGGCGACGGTTGGAACGACGGCTTGGCGTGGTCGGAGTCCCCGCACGCCGTCGGCCGTACCTTCGTCTGCGACTCAAATCGGTCCTTTCGCTACAACAACCTCTTGCCAGTGCCTGTGAGGGTGTGGCAGAGACACTGGAGCGTCAGGAGGCTGACAGGCGCTCCCGCGAGGCGCGCCTGTCAGCTCGACCAAGCGAGCGCGCCTGACCGAGCTGGAGCGCGCTAAGGCGGCAGGCCGTCTGTCCGGGGCAGACGAAGAGCCCGTCCTCCGAAACAGCACTCCATCGCCACAGAGACCGGTGGAGGCCCCACTGGTCCCTCAAACCCCGGTAGGGGCCCACCGATGGGCCCTCCCCCGCCTCCACCCCGGACTGGGTACGCTGGCGTAAAGCGTGCCCCAGCCGGTCCCCATCTCCATGTGACGGAGGCAGCCCAAGGATTCGTCCTAGGGTGGGGCACGGCCCCCCGGAGTTAGCCTTAGCTCTCGGTCTGAGACGTCTGGGCATACAACTGGCGCAGCCAAGCTCTTTTAAGACGCGACTTATTTTAGCTTTTTACACCTTACCGCTTTTTTAATGCGCCCTTTTACAGGCGTTTTTTACAGTGGAATTGTAGAGGAATAAGGGCGAATCCCCTCGATCTCCAGGCTGTCGACAGCAGGGTCTCTCATCCAGCCGTACTGCTGCAAGAGGCAAAGCTAGCGTCTGACCATTGCTGCTCTTTGAAAGGATATGCAATGTTTCGCAGTGGCGCGTTGACGAAGAGCACTGCTCATGGTGGTGTACTTGCAGTTCATCATAGCGTACCAGCGAGGAGGTTAAACTTGCGGTCCACGCTTCAGTCTGTGGCCGTGCGGCTTTATTTCAATCACCGTCATATCACCGTTGGTTTGCTTTACCTTACACCAGGCATCGCCTTTCCGTTGGTGCACCTTAGATGCCTACTGGCTGAACTGCCTCCACCACTTCTTCTTGTAGGCGATTTTAATGCGCATCACACCGCATGGGGGTGTGACGTCACCAATGCTCGAGGGAGGCTGTGTGAGGATTTTATCCACGGTGCTTCACTATGTATTTTCAACGCAGGAACCCGTACACATTTTGCCGTCCGGTCAGACGTCAGCGCAAGATCTAAGCCTCTCCGGTCCCCAGCTCGTCCAACGCCTCGAGTGGAGTGGCCGAGATGACCCCATGGGGCAGTGGCCACTTCCCAGTGTGGGTCCGGTTTAAGAGAAGTGGAGCGTTGAGTGTTAGACCATGACGCTGGAATTTTAAGAAAGCGGACTGGTGCGAATTTCAGACTCTGCTGGAAGAATCGTTAGTAACTGAGCCTGAGAGGACGCCACCCTCTATTGAGAATTTTGCTCACAGACTTTTAGAATGTGCCAACAGTTGTATCCCACGCACGTCTGGCGCTCCCCGACGCACTCCTGTTCCGTGGTGGACGGAGGAGTGTCGGGCGCTATCCGGGCGCGTAAACGTGCGTTTCGGGCTTTTGACGCCAGGAGCAGTGTAGAAAACCTGATAGCCTTTAAGAAAGCGAGAGCTTTTGCTCGGCGCACTGTAAGCGGGGCGAAGCGTGCTTCCTGGCGCGCGTACGCGAGCACTCTAAACCGGTTTGCGCCGACATCGCAGATTTGGGCCCGGATCAAGCGTATTTCGGGTCAGTTTTCACCCGTAGCTTTACCGGTGCTGTGTGTTAACGGCCAGGCTGTGACGCGCCCGTTGGATGTTGCGAATGAGGTTGCCCGGGCCCTAGCCCAACGCAGCGTATGTGGTAACACAAACCCACAGTTTGTGCGGCATAGAACGCGACGTTAGCAATCTGCAGTGGACTTTCGACAAGTGAATTGCATTCATATAATGACCCTTTCACGCTGGTGGAGTTGGAATCGGCGATCGCCAGGCTTCGCAGCGTGTCAGAAAGCCCGGACACTATGAACAACGATATGCTTCTGCATCAAGCATCTGCCGCGTCGCGTGCTTCGCGTTTTATTAGCGATCTTTAATTCGCTATAGACCAGAGGTGCATTCCCTACTTCTTGGCGAGAAGCTGCCGTCGTGCCTTTCGTGAAGCCGGGCAAAAGCTTCACGTCCAATCGACTTTGTCGCGGTAATTGTATAATATTTTGAGATATGCAACAAGCAATGACATGAACTTCCATGTGGTGACAAGGGCACAGTCACCTCTATACGCGATGCAAATTGGGCCCAGATACGGCGTTCGTGTGCGGACTTAGTGAACTTATACCTGCCATCGGCTTAACGTTGGCATCGCACCCTTAAAATAACCATCGAACTGATGAAGGGATCATGGCTTGCAAATATATATATATATATATATATATATATATATATATATATATATATATATATATACCTACAGTGACTAACCTGCGGTGGAAGTAACACGTGTGATAGTGTGCCGCGGTGCTGACATGCTGTGACCGTAGGACATGTGACAGCGTGCCGCGGTGCTTATCTGCGGTTACCGTAACACGTGTGACAGCGCGCCGCGGTGCTGACCTGCTGTGACCGTAGGACATGTGACAGCGTGCCGCGGTGCTTATCTGCGGTGACCGTACCACGTGTGACAGCGCGCCGCGGTGCTGACCTGCTGTGACCGTAGGACATGTGACAGCGTGCCGCGGTGCTGACCCTGCCATGATGCGGTCGCAGGCGCTGAAGCCCAACGAGGTGGTCAGCGCCGCCAGTCCCAGCATATCGTTCTCGATGTTCCACCCCATCACGGTGAAGCTGCTGCTGACGGATCCAACCAACCACTACATCTTCACGCCGGCCTGTCACGTGTTCACACAGGTCCGTCAACTCACTGTCAGCTGGGCAGGAGCCACCGGCCGGGCTCACTGTCAGCTGGGCAGGGGGCCATCGGCCGGGCTCACTGTCAGCTGGGCAGGGGGCCACCGGCCGGGCTCGCTGGCAGCTAGGCAGGGGGCGATCGGCCGGGCTCGCTGGCAGCTGGGCAGGGAGCCACCGGCCGGGCCCCGCCACGGCTTAGCCGCCGGCGTTAGTGACGCACGGGGATGAAGTGTTTTGGTGCGCAGCTTGAGCTCTGAAGCGCGTTCTTTGAGCGTGCCCGTACTCTGCGCAGTTGTGAAAGGTTCTGTCCATAGACTGGTTTTGTATGTATTCGTGTTCTGAATTTATCTAGTTGCTGCTCTGTACGGTGCTTTCGCTGCTGGTGATGGCGAGCGCTCACGGTGACGCTGCCGAAAGTACTTAGAATCGAGTACTGTACAGTAATTCGCTGTCGCTACAGCTGTTAGAACTGCTGTTCACGAGCCGTTTATGCACTGCTGTTCAAACTTATGATATTCAAGTGCTTTCGAAATAAACCGCAATTTGGTTGTGCTACTAATGTGCGTGTGCTTTTTGCTTGTAAAGGTGAGCTGTGCTTTTTGCTTGTAAAGGTGAGCTTAAAGATAAGCCAACTTCTTGTCATTTATATCTGCCAATGGCATTGTTAACGTCGCTCGTCACTACCATTTTTGTAAGTGCAAGATTGACTACGTGTCCTCCACTATGTTCCATCATTTTTCACTTATGGTCTTCACAAATCCTGTTTACTCACTCACTCTGATTTTACTCCCGTAGAACACGTCCCGCGCACTTATCGTGATATTCTGCTGGCTTGGTGCTTTCCACCATTGGATTGTCACAGTTACGATCTCTCCTTTCTTGTGGCCATCGGACACTGTTCACCTGACCTGGCCTGGTGCTGTTGGCAGGTGACACCTTCCCTCCCGCCCCTGCGTCGGTTCACGTGACCAAACCTGGTGGTCCAGCGGGCGCGATCTCTGCCCCCCCCCCGCCCCCGTCCTCCATCTGCGGTAGCATGACCTAACGTGGTGACCCGGTGTCTGTCGCCTGTCTCCAGCCTTGACTTGCCTGACCCGACGCGGTGCCACCGACAGGTGACTCGCTTCACCGAGGTATGTTCGTGGGTGACGCCCAACATGATCAGCGTGCTGCGGTTAGTGGTGGTGCTGCCGGCGATGCGCCTCCTCCTCTCCGAGTCAGCCGCGCTCCGGCAGGCGGGCATCCTCGTCGTGCTCCTTGGCGAGTGGATGGACGCGCTGGACGGCTTCGTGGCGCGTCTGCGCTCCTCCAGCCAGGCGGTGACCTCGGAAGTCGGTACGCTCGGCTACTACATGGACGGCGTGTGCGACGGCATCAGCTGCGCCATGCTGATGCTGACGTGCCTGGCGTACTTGCGCCGCCACCCTCCGCGCCAGAGTGACCTCTCCCTTCAGCTGCCCGTCATCTGCTCCAAGGTACGGACAGCTCGCGGCTCGCGCCAGGGCGCCGCGGCCGATGGCTGGCCGGCGTCCGCTGCGAGGTGCCCACAGTTCGCGGACTATTAGTAGCCGATTTTTGTTGTGATCTGTCGGAATGAATTCCTTCCTTGTCTTTTAATGGAGAGGTCTGTACATGGCTCTGGCTTGCCTGTGCTCCTTATATGTAAGCGCACATGGTGTACAGTATCCTGTGACATCCATGGGGTGTTAACTGCTTATACTTAACTGGTGGCATCAGTGCATACGTTTATGACCCGAAAATTCCAACTCCTGCACATAGTTTACGTATGTATCTGCTCACCTGTATGCGTGAACTGATGGCATTGTATCGTATTTTAGCCTTCCCATTGGCGAACTCACAGTTCAATGCAAGATGTGTGCTGGCTCCGACCAGTTCGGTCGCTTATAGGTACCTGCCTGGCGGCTTATCCTGTTGAGCATCTGCCACCACCCCACCCAGCCCTTCCCCCTGTCCTCGTTACAAAGTCCGGTTCCAGGGATGGCATTTTTGGCCCGCCTTTGTTGTTTCGTTCCTGTTCGCTATGCCTATGCGACACCGTCCCGCGATTGCCTGGCTGAGATCGAGTACTTGGTGTGTCATGGCATTGGATTCGGCCTCCTGAGCAAGGGAGAGTAGTTCACTTGACCCGTCGCTCAATACCGAAGACTATATGTTGGTGCTTTGCGTTCATCTGATAACTAGGCTGATAGTGTCAGCCTGCCTCAGGGCGGTCATGTAGCGTTGCATGCCACATACAAGATCCCTGCGTGATCCTGTCTGGCCAAAATATCGTGAGGAAACAATATGTTGCTTTGAAATGGCATTGTGCGGTAGGTCCATTGTAAGAGCACCAGGCTAGGTGCGGCATGTACCCTAAACGGAATACCCCCAAGTAAACCATCCCAAAGATGTCCTTTGAACGCGCCGCTCTACCCGACCCCTCACAGCTCGCTGCCCCGCTCTGCCCCTCACAGCTCGCTGCCCCGCTCAGCCCCTAACAGCTCGCTGCCCCGCTCGGCCCCTCACAGCTCGCTGCCCCGCTCCGCCCCTCACAGCTCGCTGCCCCGCTCTGCCCCTCACAGCTCGCTGCTCCGCTCCGCCCCTCACAGCTCGCTGCCCCGCTCCGCCCCTCACAGCTCGCTGCTCCGCTCCGCCCCTCACAGCTCGCTGCCCCGCTCTGCCCCTCACAGCTCGCTGCCCCGCTCTGCCCCTCACAGCTCGCTGCCCCGCTCCGCCCCTCACAGCTCGCTGCTCCGCTCCGCCCCTCACAGCTCGCTGCCCCGCTCCGCCCCTCACAGCTCGCTGCTCCCCTCCGCCCCTCACAGCTCGCTGCCCCGCTCCACCCCTCACAGCTCGCTGCTCCGCTCCGCCCCTCACAGCTCGCTGCTCCCCTCCGCCCCCTCACAGCTCGCTGCCCCGCTCCACCCCTCACAGCTCGCTGCTCCGCTCCGCCCCTCACAGCTCGCTGCTCCGCTCCGCCCCTCACAGCTCGCTGCTCCGCTCTGCCCCTCACAGCTCGCTGCTCCGCTCTGCCCCTCACAGCTCGCTGCTCCGCTCTGCCCTTCACAGCTCGCTGTTCCGCTCTGCCCCTCACAGCTCGCTGCTCCGCTCGCCCCTCACAGCTCGCTGTTCCGCTCTGCCCCTCACAGCTCGCTGCTCCGCTCTGCCCCTCACAGCTCGCTGCTCCGCTCTGCCCTTCACAGCTCGCTGCTCCGCTCTGCCCCCTCACAGCTCGCTGCTCCGCTCTGCCCCTCACAGCTCGCTGCCCCGCTCTGCCCCTCACAGCTTGCTGCCCCGCTCTGTCCTTCACAGCTCGCTGCCCCGCTCTGCCCTTCACAGCTCGCTGCTCCGCTCTGCCCCTCACAGCTCGCTGCTCCGCTCTGCCCTTCACAGCTGCTGCCCCGCTCTGCCCCTCACAGCTCGCTGCCCCGCCCTGCCCCTCACAGCTCGCTGCCCCCGCTCTGCCCCTCACAGCTTGCTGCCCCGCTCTCCGTGCAGGTGGAGCCGCGCCCATCGGAGTCCAAAGAGGCTCTTTTGGGCGGCGGCGGCGGCGGCGGCGGCTCCTCGACTGGGCCCCGGCTGCCGGTACCGCCCCGCCTTCTGCTGATCAACATACTGCTCTTCTCCGGCCAGCTGCTGTTGACGTCTGTCGGCTGGAACCACGCCGTCACCGGCTACCAGCGCGAGCTGCAGAACGCCGACGGCTCGCACACGGTGAGTGCCGCTGCCGCCGCCGCAGGCCGGTAGGACGCGGTGCGGCGATGACGGCGGGCCGCGGGAGCCCTGACTGAAACGGCCGCCGGTAGCCCGACCTGTGCGAGGCTAAGCCGAGCAGCCGACCCGCAAGGCTGCGGTCCACGGCGCCGGCGGCCGGCGCCGAGTCACCGTTGGTGGTGTTTGGGCTGGCCTGGTGGTGTTTGTCCGGCGATAGGGCTCTTGGTCCGCATCCCGTCCTGTGAAAACCTGTACCATTGTCAGTGTCCGCCGCGCTTCGAGGGCTTGCGCCCGGTGTCTGTGTATGTAGGCTGATGCTGTCACGAAGCTGGTTCCACTTGTGTGCATTGGGAGGGGGGGGGGGGGGGGCAGCTGTCAAGGTTTTAGTGGATAGGATTACGTGGCAAGAGGACAGCCTTACCCATTCCTTTAATAATGCAACTCCATTTAACTTGTTCATTCAGGGTTTTTGCGTGCACTGTTCAGGATAGCATGCTCTAATGGTGAGCCTGGTAGTTTAGTGATACTTGATACATGTCCTAGACTCAACATATTTGGGTGTAAAACAACACCCTGTGAGGAATGATTTATCGTTCCTTTTCACCCATTTCTGTGAATTTGTCACTCCCTCCTCATATTGTCCACCACATACACTGACCCTGTATTCTCCTTCCACAGATGTTCCTTTGCTTCTATCCAAGTCCAAAGTCATTTCAAGCCACATAGGATAAACCACCTGGACTCCTATGGGCGTGCCCTGCCTCACCCACACCTGACGTGTGCGTCAATCATCATTTTGCGCCAATCATCGAATCAGTATTCGAACCGGGACTTCCACAACCTGCCTGCGTATGGCCCCATGGTACACCTGAACGATAGAAGCCAACCATAGGGGAATGTTTTGGGATAGTTGTTAATGATCAATGTCAACAGTTGACATGTATCTAGCCGGACAAGGGATCCAGAGTTGGCTCAGGCTACGCCGCATATACAAGGTACGCTCAGAGCACAACATCGACGCCCAGCCACGATGCAGGGCTCGTTGTGGTGATGCAAAGAGAAGCAAGACTTTGTACCCAAACTTACGATGAACAGAAGCGTCTGACAAGATGCATATGAGCTGCGTGCCATGTGGCCTAGTCCCAGATGGCCATGCGGCCTAGTCCCAGATGTTGCGCTTTTGTGTGCACTGCCTTGGAGGCCGAGAGTCCCAGCCGCGCGGGATCATCAGAGTTGGCTTGTGTATAAAAGCAATCACATAGCACGCGGTGGTCCATCTGTGTGCCAAATGTAAGGTGTTTTTGCATCCCGATTTTTTGCAGCCCGCAAGCACTACACCAAGCCTGGTGTATAATTTTACTCCTTACCATTTTTTCCAAAGAGTATTGACTACTAAGTTGCGCTTCTCCTAAAATATAGGAGTGAAAATTCAACGAATGCCTTCTAAAATAGATTAATAAATATATATATCGCTTGTAATGGTTTACTCGTTTTGTTTTCCCCTTGTTTAATTTAGAAGTGATACAGTTTACTTCAAAATTACCTCCGCTGACAGGCATGGTCCGGTTTTCACCTGCTATAAGTCAGCGGCCCAATTGGCAACAGGTATGCTATTTTTGACCAGCCTACGCCACGCCGTTTAGAAGTTATTTGGAAAACTTCGGGGCGAGGGAGCAAACTGGCCCCACACGAGCACGTGGTACGTCACGTGTCATGTGCTGTGCAAAGCTCAGCTCCTGACGCGGTTTCTGCATGCGTGGATGCACTGCGCGAGAAAAGAGTACGAACGTAAGAGTTTGTAGTAGGCTTAATCGTTGCACTGCCAGTGTCGTACTTACGCCACGCGTCTGGGAAACCAGAGGTTTCGAACCGGGCTCTATTCCCCGTAGTGCACGCCCTTCCCGCCAGAGTGAGAGGCAGGCGGCCCCATATCGCCTCAGCAGCTGAGTACGTCCTGAAGCCCCAATGTCATCATCAACAAGTAGACATGATCAGTGTTGATGCAGTACGTTTTTCATCCTTGTCTTGAACACTTTGTTTTCATACGGGGTTTCTGCAAAAAAAGGACGGATTTTCTCGTAGAATAGTGATCTCCATAGCAAGACTACAACACGTCCTGCAAACTTTTCTGGAAATTATGTCAATGCTATTTTGTCTCAAGTCTAAACCGTTCTCGGGAGACCACGTTCCGTGCGCAGTAGACGAGAAAGTGAAGATGCTGAGATTGTACTTGGGAGCAAATAAGTCGTCACGACCCGAAGGAAAACCAGCATTGTAAAACACCCACAAAGAAGCTTGAGCAGCTTAAAACACGAAAGGCGTCATCATGGCACGTTATGCATATGCGGCATTTGCGGATGTGACCGCAAAAGCCAGTCTACCAATCCGACTTTTAAAGTCAGCCCAAGGACACGAGCCAAAAGAACCCTGACCTAAGTGGCAAAAACAAGGAAGGTCTTGCAGCCGAGTCCACCAATCTGTCGATTGGCCGGGGCTGGAACTTGCTGCAGCGAGACCATCGTGTCGTGGTCGGGAGACACAAGTGTGGATGTATACGAGCCAGAGGGACGAAGTTATGGGGTTGGCGAGCATTACAGTAAGTATTTCTGTGTGAAAAAAATACAGATGCTGGGACAACGTTTGTTAAGGATGAATGAATCTTAACATGTCGCGATACTGGCCGTTGGGCGGGTGGCACAACCTACTTTCCCGGTCGTCAATTTTTCCGACTGTTTTTTTATTGTATTTCCCTTGGACGATAAGTCATAGTTTCATCGGCTGAAAACGCAACTATGCCGATCGACCCTTTCACTGAGGGATATGAATTTTGAAGAAAAAAGTACTCCATTCTTTCATATTGTGTGTTTGGGCATGTAATAGAGCATAGGTGTGGGAACAGGGTGGGGGAGAGGGGGGTGATTCCTTGGTTGCCATGGCGTCCCTTCTTTCCGAGAATGGGGAGCATTAATCCTATGGTGACATATGGAAAGATTCGACGTCAAAATCGATACTGGCGCCGTGACTTTTGAGATGCTCCTCTGCCTGTGCATCGGAGTCGATTTGCGGTTAGGTCGCTGACAGGGCACAGTTCTTGCAAAATGGGTGTTGTAAGGGGGATCTGGGAGGTGTAATCAGGAGCGGATCCAGGATATCGTCAAGACGGAAACCCGTCTTACTTTACACAGCCCAATAAAGCACAGGCGTGCTACGCATGCATACACGTAGAGCTCGCCCATTTTTTGCAGATTAGTTTAAATGCTGTGGTTTTGAGGTTAAGTGTTTCGGAACAACAGGCAAAATAAACTTGACTGGGCTGCTAACAGCATCAAAACCAAGCATGGACTTGGTTCCTAGGCCATGTATTTACCGCTAGCCGGCTGGGCGATGTAATCAGCTGATGGCTGATGACTAATGCAGAAGTTTTCCTTTGTTATTGAGGAGTGCATCGTATCATAATGTTCAAAATATGTTAAGAACATGATGCACTAGTCTAGTAAGTGCCACATACTCAATGGCCAATGGAAATACACATACGACGTCGGCGGCATGTAGAATTACGTTCGGCAATCGCGCGTGAAAATTCTTCGCGCATATTCGACCGTCGCTATAAGACGAAGGCGCCAAGGCTAAAGGACGGAACATGAGCGATCATGGGTGCCGCAGGAGGCCGACAAAGTGGCTCTCGTCAACAATCATAGGGCCTTCAGAGCGGGCAAAAAGAACGTAAGACCAACGTGGTGGCCCCTAAACGATCGGTAGTGCCCCGGCGGACTGACGTATAAGGTCTCGGCCACAGCACAGGGCCCTTCGAGCAAGGGGAATTACCCGAGGGGATGAATTCATACCCATGTGCGATCAAGAGTTCACGGGCACGTTAACAACACGAGCCTCGATAGGAGTGAGGAGTCCTCGGCAAGTAAGGCCAAGGGAGAGAGCCCTCGATCAAAGTAGAGCGCCCCTGAGCATCGAGTGTCTCCGTGCATTATCTTTTAAGAGCCCTAGCAACAACACAAGGCCCTCCAAGTAAATGGAAATAGTCCAAGATGTATATTAAGGGCCCTGAGCAACTGAGTGCACCCTGACATATGGGACCCCGGAAAAAGTGTAGAGCCTTTTGGGGGACTGCTAAGAACCCGTGGAGGAAAACCTGATCGATCAACAGTGCTCGGGCATGGAGGTAGATAGCGTCCCAACAGCGCATTAGGCCCGACGGGAACACGTAGAGATCAAGAATAACGTGGAAAGCTTCTTGGCGATCGGATTGACCTGGCAAGTGGACATATAGGGCAAGGTAACCAACAGCGTAATGCCTCTAGACAGCGAAATGAGCCCCAAAATTTCCCCAAGCAACACTTTCTCAGTCAGAGAAGAATGAACTTCGTTTACTTATGAACTCTTTGCTTTTGCAAGCAATGGTTCTTGGTCGTCTGAAGCCCCAGAGGCATCCAATTTTGTAGTGTTCTTTGTTGTAAGAAGACTGCGTCCGTCCGGCCGGTTATGGCCCCTTCGGAGCCTTTAGGTACCCTCGGCATGGTCCAGGGGGGATGGTCCCCTGCCTCCACTTCCCCCGCTCAGCATCCGCCACCGGCCCGAGCAACTGAATAGATGGACCTGCCAAGGACATCAGGCCCTCCATTCAAATAATAAATACTCACGACACAATTTATAGAGCTCTGAGCGATCGGGTGCGCCCGAGCAGGTTAACGTATACGACCCCCGTCAAGAGCGTGGCGCCTTCCATTTAAATAGAAGGTACCCGAAACCCAATGTAGAGGGCCCCCGAATAATCGAGTGTGCCCAAGTAGGTTGACAGATAGGGCCCCTGAAAAAGCGGAGGGCCCTCCATTTGAGAAGGGAGTACGCGAAATTAGATGTAGAGGTTCCCCACGATCAAATAGGCCCAATCATCTTATCAGAAGGGGCCCCGACAGGAACGAAATGTCCTCCATTCAAATAAGAAGTACCCAAAACCCGGTGTGGAGGGCCCCCGAAAGGTATACCAAAGGTATACCTTTCGGGGGGCCCCGAAAGGTATAGGAGGGCCCCCGAAAGGTATACAAAAGGAAAGGTGTACCCTAACAGGTTATCAGATGACCCGGATGGGAGCAGAGGGCCCTGAATTCAAACACCAAGAAGCAATGTACAGCCCCCCCCCCCCCGAGCAATCCAGTGGGGCCGAGGAGGCGAACAGAGGAGACCCCCGACAAGTGCGTAGAACCGCATTCAAATAGCACGTAACCGAGGTTCAATATAGGGGGCCCCGGGCGATCGAATATGCCTGAGCATGTTATTAGATAGGCCCCCGACGAGAGCATAGCCCCCCCCCCCCCCCCTCCCATTCAGTGCGAATGAAGAAGGCTGTTAGATACGGTTTCGCGTGATCAGATTGGCTTCCTATGAATTTACCATGTTCCTGTCCTAGGCTAGGTTAACACGAGGTGTGCACCTCCTAGAAATAGTGCGTTTCGTTTGTGACTTAACCTCCACATAATCCTTGTGGCTATGGAACTGTGTTTTGTGCTTTTTGTTCCCGTTGATGTACTTCGTAAAGTGGTGTTTGCTGTCAATGTAAGATAAGTGTATTACGCTTAGTCATCCGCTTGCATCTCAGGCTTGTGGCAATACAGCTGCATCTGTCTCAAAGGCCCGGACAGTCTAATTGTGAGTAAGTCAGCGTGTGCGTAATTGCCACCGTGATACAAATTTGTATATCTCTAATTGGGAGGGTCAGGCATGCGACGTGTCACGCGGCACTAACACGCCCGTCCTGGTCTGAGAGACACGCACGGCATGCGCCGACGCTTCATGCGGTCTGTTGGGACGCCCCATTCATAGAGTTCAGGCCTGTTTCACAGTGTTATTCATATTGATATGTTTTTCAGGCGTATGCTCGAGTAATGACCGTGCCTCCCCGATCCACATGGAGACGGCAGTAAATGACTCCAGTTGTATAAGCTGTCGCGTGTCGTCCGAGCCAGAGGCCTCGTGCGCTGGCGCCTGAGGCCCTGGCCAGCTGTGTGTGCGGGCCAGAGGCCTCGTGCGCTGGCGCCTGAGGCCCTGGCCAGCTGTGTGTGCGGGCCTGTACTCGGGTGAGCCCTCTGTTGTGCGGGCCTCTGACGCTGCCTCTGCCACCACACCAGGCCCGGCAGCTGACTGTGTTGAAGGCGTCTACCACCTGGATTCTAATGTGGTTCTGGCGGGTGGCCTGCTTCCACTCTATGCTGCACTGTTTCATAATCGCCGTCTTGTTCAACAAGATGTGGGTGAGTATGCCGGGCTGTGCCTCGCCGCTGACGGGCTAGTGCGGCTATTCTCTAGGAACGGTAGTCGCAGTGGTATAGGCCCACATGTCAATGTGTATGTTAAAACGTTTGGGTGGGCGGTCATGACTCTGGAGAGTTTCTCGTCATCGGATGTTTATTTGTCATGCGTGCATTATGAGATTGCATGTATGTTATTGTGGTATGTGGAATACACACCAAAATTTTAAATAACCGCTCATTTTCTTTTGTCTCTTTTAGGAATTTATCATTGCAGTGCGTTACATCGGTTATGTCGCGCTGCTGGCCCTGATCATCCTCAACGAAGTCCACCTACAGACCATCGTGCTATACTTCTAGTGACGTCGGCGGCCGCTGGGCGGCCTCGGCAGCTCCTAGTCGCCTGTCATGTCACGGCTGCTCTTGCGCCCGACACGCGCCGGTCCAGGGCTGTGCTGCCGTCCGGCTGGGGCGCAGCGGCCGGCTGGGAAGGGTTACATTGATGCTCCGAGCCGCTCGTTCCCCGCCATCCGGCGAACGGCGACCGGTAGCGGCCCGCGCCTGCCTCAACCTCGCCTGGACGGCTGATACACCGCGCCTGGCGCCGTCTGGATATCAGCGGTAGTCAAGGTCCGCCTCATGGCCGCATTCAGCCGTGTTTCGGTAGATGTCGTTCGAGCTTGTTTGCTCGAGTTGTTATCGAGGTGCAGGGTTTGAGGTGAGGGAACTGTTGAAATTTTGGGCTCCTGTTGATATGCAGGACTGCATCCAGTGCCAGATCTGACCGAGATTGTCGCGGTGCCGGAGGTGACTGCAGCCATGCGCGACTTGCGCTTGGACATGATGGCCCTTGTTTCAGTTTTGAAAAAACAATCTGGTTAATGTGCCAGCATTAATCTAAGGTGCAGATATGTTCCCGGCATTCCGTCTTTGTAATTAAGCCGACAATCGAAACGCTTATCTGTCGTCTGTTTTTGTCTGATGCCCTGACGAACAAACTGAGATCGGCGTTAATAAGCGGCTTATGCACCAGGTGACTAATCCACCAAATGCGTGTATCTCGTCTATCGTGGTTCAAAATATCACAGATGTGCGTCCATCGAGACCCCAGCACGCCCGCGAGCTGGAAAGTTGATACCATGTAGCATCTGGTGCCGGAATGCGTTTATGCACGAGGGAAGCACTCCGCTATTTGTGGGTGCTGTACTACTGGAGTGTGCATGGCGTGCTGCTAGTGTGATATCTCCATCTATTGGAGGTTTGCTGTGATTTTATGCACATCTATGTTTCCTCAGTTCGTGTTGCTTTTGGCGGTGTTTTATTGGGGATGGAGCAATCACTGTTGTGATTTAATTTGTCTTCGGTTCGTAACGCAAGCTGCATCATGGAGAGCAAGCCAGAGTAGTCAACTGCATCATTCGTGCATGAGTGGGTGTAGGTTAGGCAGAGTTTGCAGGATTCACTCCTATTAAGATTGACTACGTTGGTGAGCGATGGTCGGTCGCGAGTTACTGGCGCGTGGTTGTGTAGTGAGAATACCCTATTTGTTCTCTCACGACTTGCCTTGTGTGCAATGGCCTATGTTACTACCGTAGCGGTCCAACGGTCAGTGACAGCGCACGTGCCGTTTCGCCATCGTTATGCATTGCCGCAAAATCGGGGCTTATGACTGACGTCTTATTTCTGTTTGTTAGAATCGTGGCGTCCATTTGTTGCGTTTTAGGCAGATGGAACCGTAGTGGTGCGCGGCCATTCCAGTCCGTTTGTATTATGTATGTCACTAAAGTGAAAGACAGCCATAGATGGGGATGTTTGGAATTCATAGCGTAGACAACTGCCTAACTGCGATCAGCACAAAAAAACACGCGCCCGCAGACTGTACCGCCTTGCAAATGCATTCGCGTGGTTTTTCGCATCATGTCCGCGATGCGACTGGGACACAGTGGCCTGCGCGCTGCCCCACGTCGTGCGGTGCGCGGCCGGACAGCAGGGACGGCGCCCGACGGCTCGCCAGTGTGGCGGTCGTGCCCCGGCCGAGTGTGCTGAACACTGCACGCCGTCGCCTTGAGTCGGAGTCTTCATTGGTCCGGCCTGTAACGTTTGGTAATTGAGAATACAACTGTTAGCGCATGAACACATCGTTTTGCAACCTCAGCAGCGACGGCGATGGGCCTGAGTCGGAGAGCTCGCGTCCATGTCCCAGTCCTGAGGTCCAGCGTCGAAGTGAATCTGTGTCTTGCGTTCATCATTGCTGTATGAATGGAGTCGGGAGACATCGGTTCTGCTTCAGATGAGCCCGAGTCTGAGTTCAAGGACCTTGATTCCGAGTCTGATTCAACTTAATTCGCGGCATGCGTCCGAACTGGTCAGTTCACACGGGCTTTAGTTTCAGAGCCACGGGTGTGGATCCCACCACCACAGTTATCAGCCAGCAGTATGGGCATGGCATCTTGCGCCGCAATGCAAACAACGTGAAGTGAGAGAGCGACCGCCCTGCGATCGGTCCAGCAGGACTACACAACAAAATTCGACGAGAGGTGAGAGAGCGACCGCCCTGCGATCGGTCCAGCAGGACTACACAACAAAATTCGACGAGAGGTGAGAGAGCGACCGCCCTGCGATCGGTCCCGCAGGACTACACAACAAAATTCGACGAGAGGTCAGAGAGCGACCGCCCTGCGATCGGTCCGGCAGGTCTACGCAACATTTGACAAGACATTAAACAAGGTATCGAGATTGGAGGAAAGGCTGAGCCACCAGGAACGCGAACTAGAAAACCCCAGGAAATTCACGTAGCAGCTAGGACATCTCGTGTCGGCGGAGCAGAGTCACGACTATCTGAGAACGGGAGCCGGGCCAAGCTGAGCAGGGAAGGAGGAACAAACAAAGACCAGGACGAAAGGGCGAAGAAGCGAAGTGGTCGACGAGGTCGTCCCGGGTCTGCAGAACGCGAGGGACGATGCGGGAGGCGAAGGAGGTGAAGAGGTGGGTGTAGCGCGGTGCCTACGTAGCGCGGTGTCTGCAGATTTAGTTCGAACGACGACGCGAGAGGACTCGACAGAGGAGCGTGTGCGCCGGCGCGATGCGTCTCCCGCGCGCGTGGTGACGATTGCCCGCGGTGAACATAGTGGTGGCGTGCGATTGCCCGCGATGTACATAGCGACGGTGCGCGATTGTCTGCGGTGTATGGTGTTCGGACCCATGAGAGTCTGCGGTGTGCATAGGGAGGCTTTCCCGATGGAGGTGAGCGGAAAATGGGACCTAGAATAAGGTTCCCTGCCTGTTCTGCGAGACCAGGGAAGGTTACTCGCGGAGCGTCGTCGGGACAGTGTTCGGAAGGAGACGCGGACGCCATCTGTCAGCCGACATAGGCAATGGCGACAGAGGGCAGCACCCGGTGGTGCGCGATGGCGGTGCGGCACCCGCGACCTGCCGGCAGAGGGCAGTATTTTGCGATGTGGATGGACGGAGCGGTCCAGTGCTCGCGGCCCGCCGGCAAGTGAGCGGCCCGGCGTGGCTACGACAAGGACGAGGAGCCAGACGACCGTAGTCCTGTTTTTACGCAGATAGACGTTTGTGGGTAGCGCGGCTCAAGACACAGTTTCGCTCTTTCGGAGACGGCTGACTCGTTTTATTGTTTCCCACTTGACCCCAGGCGTGATTGCATAAAGAGGCATTGGTCATGACGTGACCCAGGACCCGTGGGGGCCGCCCGGGATGCTCGATTGTGCATGGCGGTAGCGGAGTCTATCCGTGGGTCTTCGCTCTTGGGAATGAGGACAGGAGTCAGTCTACTCTCTTCCGACGTGGTGTACGCCGGGCCTTATGAGCGATTGGTGACGGGACGTTCGGGACGGATAGGGATCCCGCCATCAACGCTCATAGGGGAGGCGACGAGGAATCAGGTTGCCGGACAGGCGGTCAGCCGAGTCTCCAGAGCGCGCTAGCCGAGGAGACCGTAAGGCGTGGACGCAGGTCGCGCCGGGCGCTCGTCGTCTGCCGAGGGGCTCCACCGTCCCATAGAGCGCGCTGTCTACCCCCAGACCTCTGAAGGGCGCGCCGTGGGGCGGTGCCTTGCAAAAGCCTGCTCCGGTGGGCGGGAGGTGACGGCGCAGAGAAGTGCCGGGAGCGACGCCTCCGTGCTGGACGAGGAGCTGCCTAAGGCGCATGCGCGGCAGGGGGGAAGCTGCGAGCGGTGGGTGTGGCCGTGCGAATGGTGGACCGCCCCACCGTGGATGGAACGCGAGGAACGTCGTCCAAACAGGGAGCCATCACCCTGGAAGTCAGGCGAGGGAACGAGTCGCCGTTCAGCTTCGGACACCCGGTGTCGGCCCCAGCAGCTGCGTCGGTGCCAAGCTGGCAGATGAACGTGATACAATTTCAACAGGGCTTAAACGTGGCTTCATGGCAATATCGAAATGTGATAAATTAATAACGGGGACCCACGCCGACGAGCCAACTGTAATGCCAAGACGCAGGAAATAAGGGGGGGGGGGAGGGGTCCCACCCGTGTGCGAGCTAAGGATGAGTGGGATGATTTGGGCGCCAGCGGATGTGAATGCTTGGAGTGAGCGCAGTGGGGCGCCGAGTGCATGGAGTCTGCGTGGATTAGTTAAGGCCGGGGGGGGGGGGGTCCCAGGGGCATTACCCGGCGGGCTCTTGCCAATATAATTCGCCAGTGCGTGGGACCCTCGCCAGTTGGGCGTACCAGTATACATGCGGTTCCGTTTTGCTCCATTTAAACATTATCGCAAGCTAAAGGGTGGAGGTGGGGTACCGTGGTTAAGGGCACACAGCCATGGGCGGGTAGACAACCGTTCATGGTGCCTGACCGGACCCACCATCCCGCCAATGTCCCGGTCACCCGCTTCATCTTAGCTCTGTGGCTCACATGAGTGTGCGTTGATGTCGGGCGTACCGGAGCCACAACGTGCCAAGTCGTGCGCTAACATCCTCTGGCTCCTATGCTGACCACTGGGCTACTCATACAAATTCGCTCTTGTGGGTAGACGTGACAGCGGCAGCCGGCGGCGCACGACATCCAGCGGCGGCCAGGCAGTCGCGCACGACGCACCACCGCAGAAAATCCCCCACAAAGCAAACTCATCCAGAGGTCGAACTTTAACGTTGAGGACACAGTAACTCCCGAGAGTGAAGGAAAACTGCTTTTGTGATCAACTATCCGATTGGTGTAGGGCCGGTGTGCCTGCATTCTTCGCAAGCAACAGATATCATGGCATTAGTTGGATGATAGTGTGTAAATGAAACGCTTCGTTTGTGTGCAGGATGTTGCAAGTTGCTGGTAACATAAGAGGCTTTCGGTAATACGCCGATTTCTGATTACGCTGCTGGGCATGGACGTCATTGCCATGTCTTGTCATATAGGATTGCGATGAGCTGCTGGCGACATTTTCGGTCGCAGAAATTTGGTTGGCGATACAAAACACTGTTTTACCACGTTCTGGTTAGGTTTATCCTGCGCATTCGCGCGCAAACCATGCAGACGCCGCCTTGAGGCGTTCATAAACGATCGTGTCAGATCTCGGCGACTGGGGCGAACAAAGACTGAGAGATGTAAAACAGCCGCGAGCGAAGGTTGCCGTCTTCAAAGGGTCGAGCGATGGTTAGCGCGGTTTTCCCAGAGGGTGCATCAGCTCTACTGAGCAGCGATGCTTTCTAACATGGTCAGAAAGAGCCGCCAAACTAAAAAGTGGCAAAGTCTCTTGCCAGATGTGCGTACAACAAAGAAAGACTTGTTTAGTTTGGACGTGGATAGGAAGGGAGCAGACCTGGTCCACAAGTCAGACCAGGTCAGCTGGATGTGGCCAGGCAATGACGACTGTGTCACGGTCCGGCAGAACGATGGAACCAAAGCTGGAGTGCAGAAGAGTCTTGCCTTGGGAATTTGCGTAAGTGTGTAACTTTAAAAAGAGGGACTAAAAACACGCTAATCCT